AATTTGAATGCTGACTGTGAGCCAGGCCTAATCGCCCAACATCAGTGCCCGACCTCACTAATGCCCTTGTGGCTGAATGGAAGCAAGTCCCCGCAGCAATGTTCCAACATCTAGTGGAAAGCCTTCCCAGAAGAGTAGAAGCTGTTATCGCAATAAAGGGTGGACCAACTCCATATTAATGGCCATGATTTTGGAATGAGATGTTCGACAAGCAGGTGTCCATATACTTTTGGTCATGTTGTGTACCTCACATGTCTTTGGCTGCGTTTACACAAGCAGCCAAATTCTGATCATTTTACACTAATTGGTCTTTTGACCAATCAGATCTGCACTGAAAAATATCTTATGTGAAAAGATCTGATGTGATTGGTCAAAATACCAGTGAGTGGAACAAAGATCAGAATTGGGCTGCCTGTGTAGATGCAGCCATAGAGCCTCATTGGAGCACACTACAAGGATCCATCCTACAGCCTGGACCCCTCTTCTCTGGCCCCCCTGCACTATCTCAAGCCCCATGCTTACTCCCCACAACACCATACACACTCCATGAAAATATCTGCTAAGTAGATTAGCTGTCATTTGTGGTTTGGGGTTGAATGTGGGTCAGTTGTTTGTCAGTCTAATTGTAAAGGGTGTATATATTGAATTAAAATAGTAATCTGTGAGCCTGCCAGGAAAATGAATCAAGAAATTGTATTTAAAGCTAGTCTAAATTATATTTATAACATTGATATATAGCTGTTAGTATAGCGTAAATGCTACTATTTATAATTGAAAGGTAGAATCCTTAATTGAAACAATAACAGTTATAGTTTAAGGCTATATAGTGTTTGTTTACATTTACTTTGTTTATAAACATTGGAGTAAAATAGCTTATATTTTGGGTTCTGATGAGGTACGACAGTTAAATTAAGCTCATGATGCATATAAGTTATATTCTTCAAGAATCAATGGGTATATAGCATTAATTTATAAGTGCAGAAATGGATGTAGCAATTAAGGATTCTAGTTTAAGAGATGACGCTGTCTTAACAACGACAGCTCTTGTTCTCTTTGATGTAAAGATTTCGATATAGAAAATACAGTAGGCTATACAGTCTTATAGTCTTAACAGAGTCAGGTTCTATGCCCCAGAGCTGGAATAGCTCTATTACAGCTCGACTAGACACTGAAGCTTTGCTTGTATTACTCTTGTGATGGAGTGAGTGTTCAAAATGCTCTCTTCAAACCTATTGTGGGTCCATAAAAACCATAATAATGTCGATATTGCTTAGAACAATAATACTACAATCAAATGTGCCCACCATCACAACCATCTCACCCCCTTTCATGGGTAGTTGTGATTATTTAGGCTTTAGTTTCTGTTATAGGAGAAAGAGAGCACTGGACTAACGTTTGACGCATATAGGTTCAGTTTCTGGGGAATGGGAGCATTGAGCACCAGTGGTACGCTGGACCTTGTTCAATATCAGTGTGAGTACGTCAGAGACAGTGTCAAAAGGCTACTCTGTCTGGGACATTTTATCACCAGTAAAGTACTTCGGTACCAGCTGAAACCTCAACAGCATATTGCTCTTAACCTTTTATTGACAGAACATACTTTTCAACACCTCTCATGAATTCATCTTTAAAGACCCTCTGTTAAAGGGATAGTTGTGATATTAGTTACATTCCTATTTGCCTTGAAGTTATTCTAGGGTGTAGTGCTCTTTTTTTACACAATGGTCAGGCTGTGGGGTTGTTGCAGGAGGCGTTCTTGTCTATGCAACTTATTCTTCATTGTCTTACTCAGGAAATCCTCCAGATCCATACATGCCTAGACCATTTGGGCGAAACAACAACCTTCTCATCAAGGCCTTTCACTGCATGCACACTCAGACAACTAGGCGTCGCTAGTCACTTATTCTTCATTCCTTAACCAGATTCTGTAGCCATTTGATATAGGCTATCTGGTTGACTCTTTGGAGTCCATAGGTGGTGCAGACTGTGTTCTATGCTGTCCCCAGGGACAGTGGTTTCTTTACCCTAGCAGGTACCAATCAATATTGACATTGAAGTGCTGGGGCCTGTCTGGTTCTACTCTCAAAGTTGTTAGAGATTTTTTACAATGCATGTGATGATATTCCTGTGTATTTAGAAATGTTACTACCGTGTGCAATATCTGCAAAGACTGTAGACTCTAATGCAACAACAAATCACACTCAAGAGGTAGACACAGACTCAAAACCACTTCAAACACCCAATTGGAGACCTCCACACAGGCATTTCCGAAATGAAAGAAAATCGCTAAATTCATTTAGCGTGTCAAGAATGTTAATTTGCTCGCACAGAAGTGTCAATGTCTTCAGAGCTGATCTTTCTAGTACTACAAATTCCTTTCAAAACAGGCAGTCATTTCATGTATTAAAGGGAAAACTGCTGCTGAATTAAAGCAAGTACGTAGTGCATACTGTACAGAAGACGGCATTCAACAATTGTCCCTGCAAAAACACCATCCAAACACACTGGCAGGCACACTGCAGGCAGAAGTCTATGCAGACAACATACATTTACTGTAGCCTGAAGAAGATATCTCTTACATGACACCTACCCACCGACCTGCACCTCAGCCTCACAGACTGGGGCTGATCAATCCCATGGGTTTGCCTACATATACAGTATACTCTGTAGAAGTCATTTTGTGTTGTTGTTTTTTTTGCCCCAGCCGCAGACAAACAACAGTAAAAACAGTGTAGTGAGCAGTACCAGCAGCACCAAAGACAGCAGCATATCATCTTCAGCACCGATGGTATCTCATCTATACTTGGTTTCTCTCATTGTTGCTTTACTCACCCTGTTCCGTTGGATTAGTCCCTAAGTTTCTGTTTAGTTCTTGCTTTTTGCCATCCGTTTGTCTCATCCGCTCTTTATTGACTCTCCCTTTTCTTTTTCCATCTGTTCCTTCCACCCTCTCCTCTTCACCTCCATTTTGAAAAAAGTGTGATGTTGACGATGGTTTTGATGGTTTTTAAACCGAACAACTGGTTTGTGCCTGTGACCCTCTCTCACTAGGCTCCTGTTTTACCCAGTCCTACTCCTTTGTCAAACACAGCCATACATGACAATGCACAACAAAACATACACTGATAATGGTATTTTACAAATTGTATGTTTTTAGAATAATAGATTCACAATGCCACGATTGAATATTCCTATGGGTCTGTCATTGGCATTTGTATTTCTCCCTTGATAATGCTGGTGATTTGATACGCTACACAATTACAGTACGGTAGCTGAATGGGGGGGGGGGGGGCATGTGTGAAAATAAATTATTTATTTGATACCAAATTCAAAACAAGGAAATTCAAAAGCTCATTAAAACCATGGGTAAAACAGGATCCAGACATGTCAGGAAACAGAGATATCCCAATTGTATGGAAGATGCAGTCCTTCTATCTATGTGTATCTCCTTGTGACCCCTACCCCAGGGCACAAACACAACAGATGCCATTTCAAGAATACATCTCATCTAAAGTGACATTGAATCTCCCTTTCCAGTCCTGTCTCTGCCCCTCTGCCCTGTTAACAGAACATATACAGGGGAAGCAAAGAACTGTGGTGTCTAGAGGCATGTATAGTGGTGTCTGTCAGACAGACTACTGAGCTCCAGTGACCTGAGAGAGACTTAAAACCTGTATGAGGGAGAGAATCTTAGCCCGGGTGTTTGGCAAGGCAACAATGTACTGTAGAATTTTGGAATGTCAATCAGGCACCCAGCAGGGCTCTACGCTGACCTTTTTTACAAGGAGCACATGTGCGCCCAAGTTGAAAAATGTAGGTGCACACAAAGACATTTAGGAGCACAATGCAAAATATTTGAGGTAATAAAGCTAGAATCCTTAATTTTTCTAGGCGCACTGCTGCTCCTAAATTAAAATTCCAGGTTGCATATACAAGTAAAATGGTCACACTGTAGACCCCTGCCCAGGCTAAGAGAATCCCTTTTCTATTAAAGCCAAATCAGAGGACCACCTCCATCAAACTGATAGGTAAGATCAGTTTCTTACTCTTCTCCAGTAGGGCTAGAGGTAAGCTATTTGGTTGTGGATTCATTGTGGTCAGTGTTAAAGGATGTTTTGTCTCTCTGGGTCACCGCTCAGTTGATCTGACAGTCGTTCCAAGGCAGTGCTGTCTATGCTATATCAGCCTCCTAGCTTTTTCTGATCACCTACAATACATAAACTTACAGAAGGGCAGACTGTCAGGCTCTGTGGTACCATTTAAAGGGATAGTGCAACATTTTGACAACCCTTTTTTTCTACTAACCCAGGGACAGATTAACTCATGGATACCATTTGTATGTCTCTGCGTGGCTTAATTGCCAAAATGTCGCACTATCCCTTTAAGCTAATGGCCCTGTTATCTGGGGGACTGCATCTTCATGTGTGTAGGTGGTTGTGTTGAGAATGAGTCTGTAGACCAGTGTTCTGTGGGAAGGTCCAGGGGTGTGCTATGTGAGAGTGCCTTGGGGGTGTCTGTGATGCAGTATTGTAAGCTATTAGGCGCTTTTACGATGAGTGTTTCCATGGCGACTGACTGTGAAGGCAGGGTCTCGGTTGGGGGTCGATGGGTGGACTGCTGATCCAATCTCATAGCCAGTCAATCCCCTCATCCTCAATTCAGACTTTGCAGCCTTTTCTGTCTGTGTGTCCTCTCTCCTCTGTTTCTTTACGTTATAGAGGCCCTCCTCTAAGTCTGATAGCTCCAATGATAAGTGACATAGTCCATAGCTCCTTCCTCTAGTGAAAGGGGGTAGTATGGCTCTTTGTAGTATAGTCTACTTCTCAAACCCCCATCCTGTCTCGTTGTCCCACATGATGGAGCCCCTCTGCTGCCTCTGTGCTTGGCGCTGTGTGTGTGTGTGTGTGTGTGTGTGTGTTTACATGCATCGGGCGTGCACCACACGCCCTGGGCCTTCCCTGGTGGTCCCTGCATGTTAAACTCTCTCCTGCTTCCCCTAGGAACCACAGACCACTGTCGTGCACAACCCAGCTGACGGCACCAAGGTAAGCCGCTACTGTACCTCTATAATCCCATAGTCACTATAGGCTAATGCTAAAATACCTTAGAGTGGATACTAAGGTACCTTATAGTGGCTAGAGCTCTACTAAGATACCTTAGAGCGATGTTAATGCCATGAACACTTAACCACTCCACGTCTACTGACAGTCACACTAACTTAGTCGCACTAACCCTCAAAACACACAAGCCACAACTGCTGCAGCAGTCCCTCGCTCGCACAAACCACACTGGCTCAGCCACCAAAAAAGTCACATACACACCACAAAAGTCACATACACACCGAAAAAGTAACATACACACACCCTTAACACACAGTTTGTACCCCACCTCACCAAAAGGCTGTGTTTGGTGTGGGTCCTCATGCGCTTGCCCTCCTGTCTGCCTGGCTGGTTTGTGCAGGGTTTGTGTTCCTCCGAGGGAGCGTCCGTCCAACCGTTTGTCTGTCCGTCCACCTGGGAAAGGCCTCATCCAAGTCATCTCTCAGCACACAGACTAACTCCTGTTATATCTCTCTCTCTCTTCCTCTCTTTTCCTTCTCCTCTCTATCCTCCATGGTTCTGTCCATCCCTCTTCTCCCCTACAGGGCTCCACAGAGAGCTGTAACACCACAGAAGAGGAGGATGTGAAAGGTAGGAAAGGTATGTCAAACTTTCACGTACTCTGCATGTTTTCGCACGTCTTGTATCTATACACACTGGGGAGAACAAGTATTTGATACACTGCCGATTTTGCAGGTTTTCCTACTTACAAAGCATGTAGAGGTCTGTCATTTTTATCATAGGTACACTTCAACTGTGAGACGGAATCTAAAACAAAAATCCAGAAAATCACATTGTATGATTTTTAAGTAAGTAATTTGCATTTTATTGCATGACATAAGTATTTGATACATCAGAAAAGCAAAACTTAATATTTGCTACAGAAACCTTTATTTGCAATTATAGAGATCATACGTTTCCTGTAGGTCTTGACCAGGTTTGCACACACGGCAGCAGGGATTTTGGCCCACTCCTCCATACAGACCTTCTCCAGATCCTTCAGGTTTCGGGGCTGTCGCTGGGCAATACGGACTTTCAGCTCCCTCCAAAGATTTTCTATTGTGTTCAGGTCTGGAGACTGGCTAGGCCACTCCAGGACCTTGAGATGCTTCTTACGGAGCCACTCCTTAGTTGCCCTGGCTGTGTGTTTCGGGTCGTTGTCATGCTGGAAGACCCAGCCACGACCCATCTTCAATGCTCTTACTGAGGGAAGGAGGTTGTTGGCCAAGATCTCGCGATACATGGCCCAATCCATCCTCCCCTCAATACGGTGCAGTCGTCCTGTCCCCTTTGCAGAAAAGCATCCCCAAAGAATGATGTTTCCAACTCCATGCTTCACGGTTGGGATGGTGTTCTTGGGGTTTTACTCATCCTTCTTCTTCCTCCAAACACGGCGAGTGGAGTTTAGACCAAAAAGCTCTATTTTTGTCTCATTAGACCACATGACCTTCTCCAATTCCTCCTCTGGATCATCCAGATGGTCATTGGCAAACTTCAGACGGACCTGGACATGCGCTGGCTTGAGCAGGGGGACCTTGCGTGCGCTGCAGGACTTTAATCCATGACGGCGTATTGTGTTACTAATGGTTTTCTTTGAGACTGTGGTCCCAGCTCTCTTCAGGTCATTGACCAGGTCCTGCCGTGTAGTTCTGGGCTGATCCCTCACCTTCCTCATGATCATTGATGCCCCAGGAGGTGAGATCTTGCATGGAGCCCCAGACCGAGGGTGATTGACCGTCATCTTAAACTTCTTCCATTTTCTAATAATTGCGCCAACAGTTGTTGCCTTCTCAACAAGCTGCTTGCCTATTGTCCTGTAGCCCATCCCAGCCTTGTGAAGGTCTACAATTTTATCCCTGATGTCCTTACACAGCTCTCTGGTCTTGGCCATTGTGGGGAGGTTGGAGTCTGTTTGATTGAGTGTGTGGACAGGTGTCTTTTATACAGGTAACGAGTTCAAACAGGTGCAGTTAATATAGGTAATGAGTGGAGAACAGGAGGGCTTCTTAAAGAAAAACTAACAGGTCTGTGAGAGCCGGAATTCTTACTGGTTGGTAGGTGATCAAATACTCATGTCACGCAATAAAATGCAAATGAATTACTTAAAAATCATACAATGTGATTTTCTGGATTTTTGTTTTAGAACCCGTCTCTCACAGTTGAAGTGTACCTATGATAAAAATTACAGACCTCTACATGCTTTGTAAGTAGGAAAACCTGCAAAATCGGCAGTGTATCAAATACTTGTTCTCCCCACTGTATCTGTCTGCAAAGGTTTTGGTCAGAAAGACAGGGCTAGAATTCAAGATGGGCCTCAGAGATCTAGGCCAATGGATTCTCTTGAGGTAGTGCATATTATTACACGTTTGAAGAAGCCATAGTTATGAGACATGGGGATACAAAGGGATCATTCATGTGCTCCCGTGTTGTCAATCCTTCTCCTTCATTTCTTTAGAAAGACAAGAGATTATGATCAAGGCCTGGGAAGCCTTTGATGGCCTGAGTTAACTGTCAGGCTGGTGTCTGGGCCTGTGAGGATCTGGGAGATGTATCCTATAGGAGATGGAAACACAGATGGAAGGTGTCTGTAAATGAGTATACATTATATGGCTGGAGAGGTAATGAGGAAGCACTGCCATATTGGAGAGCAGCTTTTCCTTTGGTCCTCACAGCTGCTGTGGAGAAGTCAAAGAAGTTTGTATTCCTACAGAGTGAAAGGAAATGTCTTGCTAAGAATGGAAAATAGCACAGTAGTCTTAGCTTTTCAGACTGTGAGAGACTGGGCGGTCTAGCTGTGGATGTAGACTATGCTTTGTCTGAACAAACTACTGAACTAGCACATGAAGGCCTTATATGTCGTTAGATAGTCTTTAGAAAGTATCTAGTCTTTAGATAGTCTCCCCATTCTTAGTCTCACAGCTCCCCTGGGCTTAAAGAGTTGGCACTCCACCACTCTCAAACCTGTGTGTGTGTATGTGTGTGTGCTTGCGCATGTGCGCTATCAGTCTGCACCCAGAGCTCAATAACATGGATAACAGGGCTCTCCTGTTCAGAAGAGTTGTGAAACCGTGGGTTTACAGGTGTGCAAACTTAGCCTTTTAAGGCTCGTTCAAACTGCGGTGTTTAGATAACAACTTCATCCTATTTTAACTGGTTGCTTAAACAGTGTTGACGAGTGGCGGCTTCATCTGGGAAACAAGTGTCTCCACTCAGTTCATCACGGTCGGGGCCTCACGGCACAGCTCACCCTGGGAAAACCAGGCTTTTATGAGGGCACCCTCGTGTCAAGTCGTCAGGAAAACATAGCAACATACTCCAGGACCGACAGGCTCTCTGGCACTAACTTCATCGTGCCGATGAGTGTAAAGGCCCCACATTCTGAGGGAGGGTGAAAAAATGTGCCAACACAGAGGCCTCTTTCAGATCCTAAACACAGAGACACAGATACAGACGCGCGCACATAGACATCGGAACCGATGAAAGCACATGTCAATCGTCACTCTCATACAGTATTTCCAGAGACCTACAGTGCCTTCAGAAAGTATTCACACACCTTGACTTTTTCCACATTTAGTTGTCTTACAGCCTGAATTTAAAATGGATTAAATTGAGATTTTTGGTCACTGGCCTACACACAATACCCCATAATGTCAAAGGGGAATTATGTTATTTTTTTAGTTTTTACAAATTAATACAAAATGAAAAGCTGAAATGTCTGAAAAGTATTCAACCCCTTTGTTATAGCAAGCCTAAATGAGTTCAGGAGTAAACATTTGCTTAACAAGTCACATAATAAGTTGCATGGACTCACTCTGTGTGCAATAATAGTTTAACATGATTTTTGAATGACTATCTCATCTCTGTACCCCACACATACAATTATCTGAAAGGTCTCTCAGTCGAGCAGTGAATTTCAAAAACAGATTCAACAACAAAGACCAGGGAGGTTTTCCAATGCCTCACCAAGGGCACCTATTGGTAGATTGAAGAAAAAGAAAAAAAAAAGTAGACATTGAATATCCCTTTGAGCATGGTGAAGTTATTAATTACACTTTGGATGGTGTATCAATACACCCAGTCACTACAAAGATGCAGGAGTCCTTCCTAACCCAGTTGCCGGAGAGGAAAGACACTGCTCAGGGATTTCACCATGAGGCAAATGGTGACTTTAAAACAGTTACAAAGTTTAATGGCTGTGATAGGAGAAAACTGAAGATGGATCAACAACATTGTAGTTACTCTACAATACTAACTTAATTGACAGAATGAAAAGATGGCGTGTACTGAATAAAAATATTCCAAAACATGAATCCTGTTTGCAACAAAGCACTAAAGTAATACTGCAAAAAATGTGGCAAAGCAATTCACTTTTTGTCCTGAATACAAAGTGTTATGTTTGGGGCAAATCCAATACAGGACATTACTAAGTACCACTCTCCATATTTTCAAGCATAGAGGTAGCTGCATCATGTTAGGGGTATGCTTGTAATCGTTAAGGACTGGGGAGTTTTTCAGGATAAAAAAGAAAGGGAATGGAGCCAAGCACAGGCAAAATCTACAGGTTTATCTATTTATTTGTTCTTCTTTTTTTTTGTTCTTCATTCTTACATACGTTTGGTAACATGAGCTCATGTGTGCACAGTTTTTTACATTTATGGTATTAGTTTTCTTTTGTGGTGTTGCATTCAGTGTTTTTTTTATTATTATTGTGGAGCTGTATGACAGTATGGGTCGCTGTGGCTCTCAGCACTGATGTAGTCTCACAAAGAGTGCTGTGAAGCGCTCCTAACGGGACGTGGATACTGAGTGCTGGCCAAGTGGCTATACACACACTCCTCCAAGGAGATCGGCATAGCTGGAATGCAAAATAGGTTGTTAACGTTGTGTGTCAGACATTGAACATGTAACACTGTGGTGTCTTCTGATTTGTGAGGTGTGTGTACAGTGTAGTCTCACGCCTCTGTTTCTCTGGCTAGTTGTGATGGGCTGGGATTATATATATTGTGTCTCACACACCCCTCCCTGTGTGTCTTTGTGTACGGTGGTGGTGGGATATATAATGTGTTGCGGGTTTTGTTAGTGCATGGTTGGGTTGGGGTGTAGTGTTTTCTCTTGGTAAAATAGTAGATTGTACAGAACTGTGTCTGATCCTCCTGTGTCTCTCTCTGGCGTGTGTGTGTGTTGTGGTGGGGGCAGTTTCTGCGTGCGGGTGTAGCGCGGACAGCGCAATGGTCAGCCAGTGCAGTGCCAGTGAGGAACAGACCCAGGCCCAGCCCCCTCACTGTCCTCCCTCCTGTAAGTCAGCAGCAGTACCACCCCTCTCCTCTCAAATCTGACCTTTGTGTCCTTTCCCCCCTTTGAACTCATTTATATTGTCCCCTTAATATTGTTCCCCTAAGGCTGTCTGTCCCCATAATACTGTCCCCATAATACTGTCCCCATGAGACTGTCCCCATCATACTGTCCCCATGAGACTGTCTCCATCATACTGTCCCCATGAGACTGTCTCCCTAAGACTGTCCCCATGAGACTGTCTCCCTAAGACTGTCCCCATAATACTGTTCCTGCAAGACTCTTCCTGTATTAATATTAGGGTCTAGATTCAATCCGTAGTGCTGTAGTTCCGCGTTGTAGCCTGATTGACATTTAAAGGCAATGTTCCCACTTTAGCGGAGACTGCATTCACGGTACACGCTGCATATGTTGGCTCAATCGGAAATTACCTTTACATTTCAAGCACGCTACAGCGCTAGAACTTCGGCGATATGGATTGAATCCAACCGAAGAGTGTCTCGATTGGGACAATACAGACAAGGTCCCCCTCACTATCTTCAATAGAGCTATATCAGCTGCTGATCTTCAGTTTGTTTGTATGTATATAACTTGACCACCCACTAAAAAAGGAACTAATTATCACAATCACTAATAATTTTGATCAAATTATTTCAGACAAATGCATACTAAGACAATATTAATTTGGACAGTCATTAGCCAATGGCCGTTTCCGAAATCTGTCTTGCCTACTACTTACTTAAACTGCATACTGTGTACTACTTACTATTTAGAACATACTGTTTTAGTAAAAACAAATGCAACAAATGTCAGCATACTAGGCTCATCCTACTGAGAATGCGTAATCTAATGCGCAATTGCGTAGATTCCGGCCATTCGTTCATTTTGAAAATAAGTATGGACTCCTGGCATTTAAAGCATACTTCATTTTCAAAATTTCACGTACTATAAAACTGTATTTTTTTGCATACCCAAAATGCCTACTATTTAGAACGCAAGTACGGGTATTCGGACATGGCCAGTGACTTAGTGATCCAAAAAATGTAATCCCAAAAATATTTCACCGTTAAAAGTTTCCAGATTGCTGCGGAGTGATTGGAGTGAGTGTGACTCCTGCGTCTCAGTGTGTGACATTTTAAAAATGTGTCTCACATCTCTCCTGCTTATCTCTGTGTCAGCTCATCAGACTGAAGCTACTCAGCTGTCCTATCTATCACTCAGCCTGTTCCAGTCCCTCTCAGACCTTGCCAAAAGCATGGACCATATCCGCTTTGCTATGACAAAAACGTTATCATGCTGTGCTCAAGTGCTGTGTATAGACACATTGTTTTGCACAGACATGCGTTCACTGTTGGCTTACTGTTGGCCTTCCCTAGTCATTGAAGTGAAAACCTGAATCTGGGACCCAGTGTCCTACCTGTAGCTTCTACGTCTCTCTCCGTTCCTCTCCCTACATTACATATTCCTCCCTTTCTCTTCCCCTCCTTTCTCTGACAGAGAGAATAAATAATGCTGACCTTCTGAGGCTCACTGGCCTTTTAATTTATTTATCTCTCCCCATGGCCCTGACACAGACACCCAGCCTGACAGCTGAGCAGACCATAGACAGACAGCAAGCTGGACTAGACACAGGCTGGATCTCAATAAGCCTAGGCTTTCTCTTCTTTTTCTCACTTGCACTAGTTGATAGGACTGGACTGGTGACATCAGCAAATCCCTCATCAGGTCTCTGAAGAGAGGAAGCCATTGTAGACTTTTGAGATCAATTGAGATCCACCCCTAGACTTTGGCCTGCTCCGGTCGTCGGCTCATTAAACAGCCACCCCTATCCCTGAGGTGTCTCTGTCTGTCTGTACTCCTACTTCCTCATTCTGGCAGTATCCTCCTCTGTGGTGGCCTGTAACTGGCTTTAGTGCTTGAATGCTGTCCCCTGCTGGCCATGAGGCCACAGTGTCTTCTCCATCTCCTGCTGTCAGTGTTCACTGGTGTCCCCTCTGTCATTCTGTGTGACGCTATGCCCATTGGTATATCTAAGTTGTTATTAGTGTATGGATGTTCTTCTTCTAAGTTTGGTTTCTATGTAACATGTCCTTTATATAACTCCATTGCATGTGGGCATTGTGCTCCTCTCAGAGCTGTGTGAAGTTATATGTTAACTTATATAGACTATGTAACAACTGCCATTCGAGTGCACAATATTCCAGTTTGAGAAAATGGGTCTTGTTGTCCTATCAGTTTTTTATTTTTTATTTTTTTGTCTGATTTGATTGCTTACATGGTTGCCATTTTGTTGCTGTTGTCACATTGTCTTCCAGCTGCCCCACTGCATGATGATGCTAAGCACACTTTTGCTAATTGGAAAAGTTCAGGTCATAGCTCCTGCCCTGACTTAGAGCAAGCTCTGCCTGTGCCACCCTCCGTGGCCCCAGGGGGCAGCAACACGCAGCTGAGTAAGTTCAGCCCTGGGGCAGCTATGCTACGCAGTAGAGCTAGTTACACGCACACCACACACACACAGCATTCCACTGGCTTTCATTACTAACCCTGCCTCGCAGTTATGCTACTGCTATATTTATGTGACAGTAACATATAGGCTACAGTACAATACCAAGCTTCTATAACGCCAGGCTTGAGCTGCTTTTTGCCAGTTCATCATTCCTGTGGGAATATGAACTATATATATATATATATATATATATATATATATATATATATATATATATATATATATATATACACACATATATATATACACATATATATATGTGTATATATATATACACATATATATATATACACATATATATATGTGTATATATATATACATATACACATATATATAAATACATATACACATGTGTGTATATATATATATATATATATATATATATATATATATATATATACAGTGGGGGAAAAAAGTATTTAGTCAGCCACCAATTGTGCAAGTTCTCCCACTTAAAAAGATGAGAGAGGCCTGTAATTTTCATCATAGGTACACGTCAACTATGACAGACAAATTGAGAAAAGAAAATCCAGAAAATCACATTGTAGGATTTTTTATGAATTTATTTGCAAATTATGGTGGAAAATAAGTATTTGGTCACCTACAAACAAGCAAGATTTCTGGCTCTCACAGACCTGTAAATTCTTCTTTAAGAGGCTCCTCTGTCCTCCAATCGTTACCTGTATTAATGGCACCTGTTTGAACTTGTTATCAGTATAAAAGACACCTGTCCACAACCTCAAACAGTCACACTCCAAACTCCACTATGGCCAAGACCAAAGAGCTGTCAAAGGACACCAGAAACAAAATTGTAGACCTGCACCAGGCTGGGAAGACTGAATCTGCAATAGGTAAGCAGCTTGGTTTGAAGAAATCAACTATTGGAGCAATTATTAGGAAATGGAAGACATACAAGACCACTGATAATCTCCCTCGATCTGGGGCTCCACGCAAGATCTCACCCCGTGGGGTCAAAATTATCACAAGAACGGTGAGCAAAAATCCCAGAACCACACGGGGGGACCTAGTGAATCACCTGCAGAGAGCTGGGACCAAAGTAACAAAGCCTACCACACTACGCCGCCAGGGACTCAAATCCTGCAGTGCCAGACGTGTCCCCCTGCTTAAGCCAGTACATGTCCAGGCCCGTCTGAAGTTTGCTAGAGTGCATTTGGATGATCCAGAAGAGGATTGGGAGAATGTCATATGGTCAGATGAAACCAAAATATAACTTTTTGGTAAAAACTCAACTCGTCGTGTTTGGAGGACAAAGAATGCTGAGTTGCATCCAAAGAACACCATACCTACTGTGAAGCATGGGGGTGGAAACATCATGCTTTGGGGCTGTTTTTCTGCAAAGGGACCAGGACGACCGATCCGTGTAAAGGAAAGAATGAATGGGGCCATGTATCGTGAGATTTTGAGTGAAAACCTCCTTCCATCAGCAAGGGCATTGAAGATGAAACGTGGCTGGGTCTTTCAGCATGACAATGATCCCAAACACACCGCCCGGGCAACGAAGGAGTGGCTTCGTAAGAAGTATTTCAAGGTCCTGGAGTGGCCTAGCCAGTCTCCAGATCTCAACCCCATAGAAAATCTTTGGAGGGAGTTGAAAGTCTGTGTTGCCCAGCGACAGCCCCAAAACATCACTGCTCTAGAGGAGATCTGCATGGAGGAATGGGCCAAAATACCAGCAACAGTGTGTGAAAACCTTGTGAAGACTTACAGAAAACGTTTGACCTGTGTCATTGCCAACAAAGTGTATATAACAAAGTATTGAGAAACTTTTGTTATTGACCAAATACTTATTTTCCACCATAATTTGCAAATAAATTCATAAAAAATCCTACAATGTGATTTTCTGGATTTTTTCTCCTCATTTTGTCTGTCATAGTTGACGTATACCTATGATGAAAATTACAGGCCTCTCTCATATTTTTAAGTGGGAGAACTTGCACAATTGGTGGCTGACTAAATGTTTTTTTCCCCCACTGTATATATATATATTTATTTGAACAGTGAGAGACAGAATAACAACAACAAAATCCAGGTCAAAACTTTTATAAATTGATTTGCATTTTAATGAGGGAAATAAGTATTTGACCCCCTCTCAATCAGAAAGATTTCTGGCTCTCAGGTGTCTTTTATACAGGTAACGAGCTGAGATTAGGAGCACACTCTTAAAGGGAGTGCTCCTAATCTCAGCTTGTTACCTGTATAAAAGACACCTGTCCACAGAAGCAATCAATCAATCAGATTCCAAACTCTCCACCATGGCCAAGACCAAAGAGCTCTCCAAGGATGTCAGGGACAAGATTGTAGACCTACACAAGGCTGGAATAGGCTACAAGACCATCGCCAAGCAGCTTGGTGAGAAGGTGACAACAGTTGGTGCGATTATTCGCAAATGGAAGAAACACAAAATAACTGTCAATCCTTGTGGAGTTGCAATGATCATGAGAATGGTGAGGAATCAGCCCAGAACTACACGGAAGGATCTTGTCAATGATCTCAAGGCAGCTGGGACCATAGTCACCAAGAAAACAATTGGTAACGCACTACGCCGTGAAGGACTGAAATCCTGCAGCACTCGCAAGGTCCCCCTGCTCAAGAAAGCACATATACAGGGCCGTCTGAAGTTTGCCAATGAACATCTGAATGATTCAGAGGAGAACTGGGTGAAAGTTTTGTGGTCAGATGAGACCAAAATCGAGCTCTTTGACATCAACTCAACTCGCCGTGTTTGGAGGAGGAGGAATGCTGCCTATGACCCCAAGAACACCATCCCCACCGTCAAACATGGAGGTGGAAACATTATGCTTTGGGGGTGTTTTTCTGCTAAGGGGACAGGACAACTGACGATGGACGGGGCCATGTACCGTCAAATCTTGGGTGAGAACCTCCTTCCCTCAGCCAGGGCATTGAAAATAGGTAGTGGATGGGTATTCCAGCATGACAATGACCCAAAACACACGGCCAAGGCAACAAAGGAGTGGCTCAAGAAGAAGCACATTAAGGTCCTGGAGTGGCCTAGCCAGTCTCCAGACCTTAATCCCATAGAAAATCTGTGGAGGGAGCTGAAGGTTCGAGTTGCCAAACGTCAGCCTCAAAACCTTAATGACTTGGAGAAGATCTGCAAAGAGGAGTGGGACAAAATCCCTCTTGAGATATGTGCAAACCTGGTGGCCAACTACAAGAAACGTCTGACCTCTGTGATTGCCAACAAGGGTTTTGCCACCAAGTACTAAATCATGTTTTGCAGAGGGGTCAAATACTTATTTCCCTCATTAAAATGCAAATCAATTTATAACATTTTTGACATGCATTTTTCTTGATTTTTGTTGTTGTTTTTCTGTCTCTCACTGTTAAAATAAACCTACCATTAAAATTATAGACTGATCATGTCTTTGTCAGTGGGCAAATGTACAAAATCAGCAGGGGATCAAATACTTTTTTCCCTCACTCTATATATTTATATAAGCTGTGCTGTGTGGAATTTCTCGACTCTGCTGGCAGGTTGTCTGGCGTGTCTATGTGTCACCCTCCCAGATGACATTTCAGTGAGCCCAGTTGGTTTGTGTGTCACTTGTCTGATGAGTGTGTGGTTGAGGATGGAGTTGTAGACAGAGTTGAGCTTTAGACCAGGAATTATATAACAAAACACCAACACATCTGAAGTAACTTAGGAGAATCAGAAACTTGCACTTGAGATTCAGGGAAGTGAAACTGTTCAAAAACTCAAACATTGCCAGGTGCTTTGGGTAGGGCAGACTATTAGAATGGAAAGAGAGCTGGACTGCAGCTCAGTTGGGGCCTGTTAGGGTAGTTTCTATGAGATTGGTGGTCCCCAGTAGTGCTGCTGTAAGCTGTGTCTTGTACAACCAAACAACAATAAGCATGGATGACATTGTAAAAAGTCTCTGCAATCAGTACCATACAGGAAAGGGCTAGTGAGTTAGGTGAAGCATGGGGAGGGAGGGGTTCTGCATGCTGATCTTAAAGTATTTCTGACTGGAGCACTCTTAAGGTCTCTCTAATCCCATCTGGCCATCTTTCTCTCCTGCCGTTTATCTATCTATCTATCGTTCACTGGATTTCAGCTCGCAAACAGGAGATCATCAAGATTACTGAGCAGCTGATTGAGGCCATCAACAATGGAGACTTTGAGGCTTACACGTGAGTTTACATACATAGATTGTGTGAGTGCATACATTTCATACCTCCTGGTTTAAAACTGACCCTAACCCTGCTGATTTTCCTTCCAGGAGAATCTGTGACCCCGGACTAACCTCATTTGAACCTGAGGCTTTGGGAAACCTGGTGGAGGGCATGGACTTCCACAAGTTCTACTTTGAGAACTGTAAGCATCTCTTATCAACAGGGAACTTGATGTTGTTGTCATTCCACAAATGGTGCGCTTTGGGTAGTGTAATTTGATCAAAAATAACGATTTATTTCACCTTATTTTAACACTGTCGTAAAGAGCATAAAAAATGTTTTACCATCAAAAAAAAAAGACTAGAAAAGTGCCCATCTTAAATCAGGCTAAACTCCCCTTGATACAGGGGGAACGTAAGCTTGTTCTGTGCAACATGGAGGGGGAATTTTTATTTGTTGAAACATTTATAGCTTATCAATCTATGGGTAACATGGTTGGCGCAAAAGTGGAAGAGGAAAGTGGAAGGGGGAGAAAGTAAGGAACTGTCTGTCGGCCTTGCATTAAAGAACATAATTGGTTAAGGAAAACTGATAAATAAAAAAGTATATCAGTTTCACTTAAGGACCAAAGGATTGACAGCCGTCCCATATAGATTGCAAAATAGTTGGGAAGAGATTATTGACGTACCGATCCCATGGCATAGTGTTTATGAACTGACACGCAAAACGACACCGGATTCAAAAATTAGAATCTTTCAATTTAAATTATTATATAAAATTATTGCGACCAATAGAATGTTATTTATATGGGGGATACAATCTTCCCAGCTCTGCAGATTTTGCTGTGAAGAGACAGAATCATTAGATCATTTGTTTTGGTTCTGTCCATTTGTAGCTTGTTTTTGGACACAGGTCCAGGAATGGCTAAAGGATTTACCTGGAGCTAACCTTGCAGATTGCATTACTGGGTGATCTGAAAAGTCATAGTCAATCGATCAATAATATAATAATACTTTTAGCAAAAATGTTTATTTTTAATTCACAATCTGTAGAAGCAATGAGAATAGAAAGGTTCAGAACTTTTGTTAAACATCACAGTACGGTTGAAATATATATGGCAAATAGAAATCCTATATGGATGGTGTTAAGAGATAGATGGGAGGTATTGAATGGAGTTGAAGGATGGGACTAATAACAAATAACAACAAATAATAACAAGATAACTAATAATGTAAGCATACTGTGTCCATAATAAGTATATAGGTTGTATGTTGGGAGCTTTTGGGAAAGAGCACAGTTAGAAAGATATGGCATATAGAAGCAAACCGGATGGACATCATGGGAATGATCGGAGAGGTTGAGAGTAGAAGAGTTTCAGGAGCAAAAACAAATAAAATATAATTATTGTAAAATGTACTGTGTCCATAAGGTGTAGATAGTAAGTATAGGCTGGAAGTAGAGGCCTGGGCATTGTTGTTCACTAATTTACCCCAAGTAGGGAAAGGATGGCGGGGTTGAAAAGTAATAAAGGGGAGTATATATATAAAAAACATGGGGGATTGGAAGTGATGCAGACAATTACATTGATAGAAGTTACAATCTATCTGCAATATTAAGCTGATCTACCCCAAAGAAAAAAAAAGAAAAACATGGTTGGCGTGGTATGCTCGACGCGATCAGTTTTCTAATACAAAGACCAGAAAATTGTCAAAAAGAGTAGAACCAGTTCACCTGTAAAAAAAATAATTAAAGGGATAGTTTTACCATATTAAAACGAGAGTTCAGTTCATGTTACAGGGTTTACCTTAAACCTGAGGGACAAATGTAAATGAATCATTAATGACATGGGCTTTACAATTTTTGTGCAAACTTGGGAAAATTGTGGGATTAAGTGGGTTAAAATCTTCCTAGATTTGGACAAACATGATGTGGGACATGCCAAAATTGGGATTTTCAGAGAAAGCAAAACTTATTTGAATGAAAACACACTGCTATTGGAATTTTTACATGGTTTAATTTTGTTAAAGCATAGATGTATGTGATCCAACTGTTGAATTTAGTGTTTTATAAAAATGTACACAATATTTGTGACACAAAATGTACTATTCGTGGAACTACCCTGTTATTGTGTTCATTGTTGTATTTTTTTTATTTACCAGGTAAGTCACTGAGCACACTATTTTACGCTAATGGCTTGGTAGGTCTTTCTCTATTGGAATCTAATCAAGGATGAAGTCCATTTAAATACCAACTTATGCAAGTTGATGACTGTGTGTCCTTGTCTCCTATGTAGTGTTGAGTAAGAACAGTAAGCCGGTCCACACCACCATCCTGAACCCCCATGTGCACCTGATCGGGGAGGATGCGGCCTGCATCGCCTACATCCGCCTGACGCAGTACATCGACAGCCAGGGACGCCCGCGCTCCTGCCAGTCAGAGGAGACCCGCGTGTGGCACCGCCGCGATGCCAAGTGGCTCAACGTGCATTTCCACTGTTCAGGAGCGCCTGCCGCACCTCTCCAGTGAACCTTTATCAGACACAGGTGCTGACTGCAAATAGCTTTATTCTAGGGTCTGTCTACAGGTGTGCTCTCCCTCACACTCATATACATGTGCTAAAGTGCTGATACTGTACATATCTTTGTGTTGATGTATGTGTGATCTTCTGTGACACCTGTTGCAAAGAGGCCAAGTGCTGTATGTACTGAGTATGCCAAACATTAGGAACACCTTCCTAATATTGAGTTGGAGTAGTTTGGAGATGTACACACTCTTGACAGGCTGTCCTGTGCCCTCCCTACCACTCTCTCTCTCTCCCTTTCTCTCAGCTTTGCCTGAATTCTGAAGCCGACTGGAGCATTTTCTCAGTGGTCGGATTGGCGCCAAGAGCCCTGTCGGAAGAGACCGCTTGAAGTTTAAAATCCAAAGGGAAAATATAACAAAATAAAATATTTTAAAGCCGACCGACTGACAACACCACCACCACCAATCCAGTCCAACCCTAGCTATATGTTGGGGGCCGGCTGTGGCCGAAGCCCTGCCCTCCAGACGGTGCATGCTTCTGACGCCCACAGGGGGGCGATGTCTTGTCCTTTTTCCATGGATCCATATTTTTTGCAGTTTTGAAAGGTGTTTAAAGTATTAACGTATGTAAAAGAAATTATCAAAAAACCTTCACATTTAATCAACAGGTATGGGAGTAATGATTAAAGAAAATAAATGTGAATTTTCTATTAAAAAAAGAGAAAAAAGGAACACCCTAATTTTTGTGGTGGTTGGTTTTTTGTTTTGTTTTGTTTAATAATTAACATATCTAATTATTTATTTTGTTGGATGACAAAACAAATGCTAGAAGGGAACATTTCAGAAAAACTAAAAGCTTAGATTCAATCTGTATTGCGGACATTCAACGCTATGGCGGGATTGAAGTTTAAAGGTAATTTTTCAGATTGAGCTGACCGATGCAGCGTTTACCGTGAATGCAGTCTCCACGAATATGGGCACATTGCCTTTAAATTTCAAAAGCGCTATAGTGCTGAACTTCCGCGATATGAATTGAATCAAGCCCTAAATTGTTAGTTAATATCAAAATTAAAGACTTTAGGCATTTGAAGACATTGTTTTAATGTAGATGTTATCTTTTAATGGATCGGGTGGGTTGCAGAAGGGACTATTTTTTAGTATTCTTATGTGTTATTGTGGACCTATTCATTTTTATCCCCTGAATGATGGTGTATTTGAAAGTATTTTGTGTTTGAAGAAAATATTTAATATAGTAATGTATACATAGATATTTATAAGGAGAACGACTTTACTTTCAGGGTTTGGATGTGTGTGTGAGAGTGAAGGTGTGTTCTCATGTCCCTATAGCTCCCTTTCAGGCTATTTTGGGCTTTGAGATCCCCGGTGTATATGCACACACATACACACTCACACAAGGCCCAAACTCCAGGTCCCTGTCCTGTGCCCTTTGGGTCTGTAGATCAGCCTGCTCCTCCAGCTACAGGCCACAATATCCTGACCAGCACAACCTGAAGTTGCAGAACACTACCATTGGTTCAGTGTGCCGAGTCTACCATCTTCCTTTTGGCCATTAGAGGGCACACGACACAATCAAGCCTACTGCTACTATTCTGACGGAGGCCCCAAACCGCAAACTCTGAAAGCTCGTACACCTTTCCTTCCTATTGTTTTCTACTCTGATTTTAGCATGTTTGATTTAAAAAAATTGGGGGAAATATGGAAAAATCTAATAAAATCTAAAATGGCCTGTACTGTTTTGCACAAACTTGAGACTCAATGCTGTTTTGTTCACTCCCCGGATGAACGTTTCTGCAACTTCAGGTTAAGCTCACTTACTCCTGGGGTCTCTACCTGTGTTTCTATAGTGAGCGACCCTACTAATCAGCTGTCTATTAGTGCCACTCTGTGTGATATCACCCTTTGCCTGTCTCTTGTTCTGGTCCCCATCCTGTTCCCTAACATTGTATATTGTCTGTCTTCGCTTGCCATACCTCTCTGTAAAGTCATTGGCACTAAAAGCATGTGAAAATGAAAATGCTGTAAAGTGGGGTGCTGAGTTGTCCGTTGGCATGTCAAACCGCTGGCTGGGGATGGGACGGGAGGTGGATCTGGGGGCCACACTAAAGGCAATCAATGGATTGGTCCCTTTATCCCGGTTTCAGTTGTAACTGTTCTAGATGTTAAGTGTTTGTACTGTTGGTATTATTATGAATAATCAGTTTCTTTTTGAGATTGGAGCTGTAAATATGGGGAGGCAGTTGAGTGGGGGTTGGGGCTCAGGCCAATCACACCCAAGCCTCCCCTGTCCAACCCGATTCCCACAATACACATATGTGGAATCAACACACACACAGTGCACTCCCAATGCAAATTGTATTTGAATATATATACACTGAACAAAAATATAAACGCAACATGTAAAGTGCTGGTCCCATGTTTCATGAGCTGAAATAAAAGATCCCAGAATTGTTCCATACTCACAAAAAGCTTAATTCTCTCAAATTTTGAGCACAAATTTGTTTACATGCCTGTTAGTGAGCATTTCTCATTTGCCAAGATAATCCATCCACCTGACAGGTGTGCCATATCAAGAAGCTGATTAAACAGCATGATCATACACAGGTGCACCTTGTGCTGGGGACAATAAAAGGCCACTAAAATGTGCAGTTTTGTCATATAACACAATGCCACAGTTGTCTCAAATTTTGAGGGAGTGTGCAATTGGCATGCTGACTGCAGGAATGTCCAACAGAGCTATTGCCAGAGAACTGAATGTTAATTTCTCTACCATAACGTCATTTTAGGGAATTTGGTAGTATGTCCAACCAGCCTCACAACCCGCAGACCACGTGTAACCACACCAGCCCAGGACCTCCACATCCGGCTTCTTCACCCGCGGGATCGTCAGGGGCAGGGGGTGCTGCTGAGGAGTATTTCTGTCTGTAATAAAGCCCTTTTGTGGGGAAAAACGTATTCTGATTGGCTGGGCCTGGCTCCCCAGTGGGTGGGCCTATGCCTGGTCATGTGAAATCCATAGATTAGAGCCTAATGAATTTATTTCAATTGACTGATTTCCTTATATGAACTGTAACCCAGCAAAATCTTCAAAATTGTTGCATTTATATTTTTGTTATATGAGACACACAGAAAACATACACACTCAAAACAATATCCCTTTAAAAACATATCTTTGTGTTGATGGTAAAACATTGGAACACTGTTTTTCACTATGTTATAGCAACTTGTGACTTTGTACCGCCAGAGGCTGTAAACCCCTTCATTTCTGTGCTAAACAGCTCCATAGTACTCACGTTCCATAGAACCTGTGGAAGGCTGGGCACCGAAAAGACAACAACCTACCGATGAGACTCTTGGTCATCAAAAATTATATCAAAACATGTTGAATGAAACACATTAAAACAAAACCTGTGCTCTGTGTTCATACCATGAGTCACAACTGGCCCCGCCCACCCTACTGCTCATTGTGACATATCTGCCATGCCATGAAACTGTGTTCCCCTTTGCACCATAATGCGATGTTTACAGTACTGAACTGTGTGATGTTTTTTGGCTCTTGCGTAGTTTTTCCTGACTTTGTGCTGTGGGCACTGGCCTCTCTCTCTCCCACTGGGCCTGATGCTTCCATTCATTGTGTCGGTGTTCACACAGCCATGGGAATGTTCATGTGAATGAGTACAACCATGCAGTTTACTTCAACTCTTAAAAATAATTCAAAGGGAAGAAGAGGAGAGAAATAGTTAGTGAGGGAAGGATAGTAACCTTGGATTATACTGTAGCCTACCTAACTGGCTAGTAGGACAGGAAGAGAGCCTTGATATACTTACAAAAATAAATACTGAAAAAGACATTAACAACTATATATGCAGTTTTACAAGAGAAAGAAATATGCATGTCTACTTTCTGGTAATATTTTTCATTGTCTGTGTTTACTTGATTAAGAAATGGAAATATATATGTTACTTGCATCCTCAAGGTCAATGAAAATGGCTCCGTCTCAAATATTGAAATTAAGTGATATCACGTTTAAAAAAAGCTAAAAAATATATGTAAATTTACTGCATTGTAACCATATACTATATGACTATACTCCGTTTTCATTTGGATGCTGGATTTTTGCATGACCATATAATAAATAAAACCATGACTTAAACTATCAAGTGTTTGTTTGAATGTCAGTAGAACATCATAGCTTTGTTATTATTGAAACAATCAGAAGTATTTAATAAAAATTACATTTCAACATAAGTTGTCCGTTTTTTCATTTTCTTGCAAGCGTGTGCTAGTCCATCCATCCAGGATCGAAATGTATCTTGTATGTGTCAAACCACTACACAATATTAGAGTTGCGTACATTACTTCTTTCATATATTTTTTCTGTCCAGCACCTGACACTTGGGTGCGTATATTTCCTTTTTTCTGCTAGTTCATCTAGCCTGTTTTGACTAATCCCTGGGAGTCTATCAGTGGCGTGGATGCCAAGGGAAGCCAGGCTTCCCCAAAAAATGAATAAATAAATATATATATATATACAGTATATCTTTCGTCTCTGTGTTTCATCATTTTCCTTCAATTCGCAACAGGCTGAATGTATCTCACAAGAGAAAGCATCCGAGCAAGCGAAACAGCGCCCCTCTGTCTCTACGTGTAGGCCATCTATCTGATGCTGTCTGGTCCAAAATAGTTTGACATTGTTGCCGCCCGTTGCCTAGGACAACAAAAAATAAAAGCATGTACTGTATGACAGAGTGATAGACCATTTCGTCAATATGAAAAAGAGGATGGCATTGGGTGAGTAAACATGTTTTTCTACTTGCACGAACGCGCGCGCACACGCACGCACACAGAATTCAGAACCACGGACAGCCACATCTTTACGTTGATTGGACTAATTTGGTTTTGGTATCTTTTAGTTGTCACTGTATTAGACAAAGCAAAGGTGATTTGCTAAATGGCATATTCATTTGATGATGTTGAAATGTTGA